AAGAGATTAGACGAATACAAGGAAGAACGAGATACTACTGCGACTATTTTTCTAATATGTTGAAAGAGAATCTCTTACCTTCCTGGTGGACATGGAGTCCCACAGTCCGGACCGGTCCATCCGGGTGGACACCTACAGTCTCCTGTTACATGATCACATCTGGCCACAAAAGGGTTGTACAGAGTTGTGTCGTCTGGAAATCGAACTTGGCAGACTTCCAAATCTTCATGAACTTGAATGAGTTCTTACTTGATGTGGCGCAATCACATATGAAACGGCACTCCTCGCCATAGCGTCCATCTGGGCAGGGTCGGTCACATCTAAATGGTTATTTTACCCAATTCTGACATCAAAAACACTGAACTGGTAATTTACCTTTTTCCTCGCCATCCTGGAGTGCATTTACAAGCTCCAGTAACACCATCACATGATCCACCATTGGCACAGGCGCAGATTCCACGACATCCTGCACCAAAATGGCCAGCCTCACAATCTCAAATGGTTGTTTAAATTTCATTTTCGTGTTGATGTAGAAAGAACTTCCTATGTTATGCTCCATTTGCAAGAAAAAAAAAGAAATTTGGTTTACCTTGGTCACATTTGGCGCCCCTCTTCCCCGGCGGGCAGATGCATTCACCATCTGAAGGATCGCAATGCATACCGTTGGCGCAGTCACACCGTTTCAAGCAGTCCTAGGTCATACACTCTTGTTTTGAAGAGAAAATAAAGCTTTGATCCTACTTACTTTCCCATGAAAACCTTGCTCGCATGGCTTTTCACAATGTTCACCCATCCAACCTGGCCGACATTCACATTTACCATCCGATGGGCTACAGATTGCGCCATTCTGGCAATCACAGAGCTTCATGCAGTCGGTTCCGTATCTACCGGATGGGCATACTAAAATGTTCAAATTGAGCTCTAACTAAAGTAAAGCTGATGTACCTTACCTTCACTACAGCTTGCTCCATAGAATCCAGGAGGACATATGCATGAACCATCTTTGGCATTACATTCTGCACCATTTTGACAGGCACATTCAAATGCACAGTTTGGACCATACAGGCCAGGTGGGCAAGCTAAAAAGCTCTTTTGCTAGAATCAGAAGGTTAGCTACCGCTCAGCAGCTTTTATACCTTCCCAACGAAAGGCAAAGTCATGGTAGGATTTGGAAGATATTGAACTATTAAAAGTGCCCTTACATCTAATCAAAAAAAAATTTTTTTGAGCTCCAAAGTAGTACCATGAATGA